CAATATATAGAGAAATAAATATATGTTTTGCATTTTTGTAGCAGGTAGATCATTTTGACTTGATCATTTTATAAATAGCTCGCAGGCTGAAAAAGTGTGAGCACCCCTGTTTTATTTCGAACGCACACATCAAAAACGTATAATAAGCTTTTGTACTCACTTCACAGCAGATGTATCGGAGCTCATTCCAAACCTCCCGTCTTTAAATCCAGAACAAAATGTAGGTCGACCATTAGATCCATAAATTGACACGACGCAGCAAGCTTTAGTTCCATTCTCCACTCTGTACCCGTGCACTTGAGTTTCATCGTACGAACCAAAGTCAGAGAGGAGCAGTAGAACAGGCTTGTTCATGGTGCTGAGGTCAAAGTAGATCCAAAACCATCAGGACAGACTCTTAAATAGTGAGGAGGTGTGGTCTTACATGGTTCTCTCTCTCTCTCTCTCTCTCTCTACATTGAAAATAACCCATGATGCCTGACACGGTTGTACAGTGCTCTTGTCTCACTGCTTCAAGGTTGCGAGTTCGAATCTAGGGTCAGCCTCCACTGTAGAGAACCTGTTAGAGACCCTCGTGGCAATGAAGGATGGGTCAAATGCAGAGGACCCATTTCTCTACGGGGACAATAACGTTTGTCATGAGATATGGGTTATGGTTTTAAATACAGGGTGACGGGGGACCAGTGTTTTAAATACAGGGTGATGAGGGACCATGGTCTAAAGGCAGAGCAATATAGCGACCCAACAAAGGTGCTGTTTAAATCCCATTATTATGTTACTCTTTCTATTACTTTATTTTTGTCACTTTTTTACCATGTTTTTTACTCAATTTTTAAAATACAAATAATATATTGATGTTTTGTTGGGACATATTGCAGAATCATGAATCATGAATCAAATGGAAACGTATGTGCGTGATTGACTGTAATGTTAGTATGTGATCATTTCTCAGGTAAATCTGCAAAAAAAATGATCTATCTTTTCTGTGCTTGGAGGTGTATTATTAGATTTATTAGCAAGTTCACAGAATCAATAAAGAACTTTTTCAGAGCTATAGACTGATTGTCATTGATTATGTCTCCTTGTTCTTTTAGAGATTCTATTTGTGTGTGTTTTTTCTTACTTAAGCCATTCATATGTTGCCAAAGTTTGGAACTGCTTCCATTAGTTTGTAGTTAAATAGTTAATTTTGGCTCTACGCAGTATAGTATAGTATAGTAATAACTTGATTTCTGAGGCCTGTACATACTAATAATCAATTGTATTTTTAGTTTTTAGGGGATTTTTAAGAGCCTTGTCACATGTTTTCACTGCATGCCATATGTATCTATAGGTGTGTGTGTGTATCTGTATAGTTGTGTGTGTATCTGTATAGGTGTGTGTGTGTATCTGTATAGGTGTGTGTGTCTGTGTGTGTATCGCTCCTTCTCTTGCCCCATAGTGACTGTAGGAGCCAAAATGTACCTTTCCCTAGCCACAAGGTGGCGCTGTGGGCCTTATGTGACCTGAGCCCTTCTCCTATAAAAAGGGCAGAATCAGAGGCACAGGTGCTGTTAGGTTTGGAGGTAAACAGTTTCTTACCGTGTCAATTAGGAATGTGTTATGTTTATTTGGATTACTGGTCATAGGGGCCAATAAAGAAAACCTCTGATACATTATTGGACTGTGGTTTGTGGAGACGCGCATTTGGGAAACCCTTAAAATCTTGACAGCCAAGAGGCGATCTATAGGCAACAACTTCGCCTCTACAGTGACTGTAAACAGATTGTAAGTCAGGAAATATGTAAATGTTGAATTCATGACGGTTCTGTTGTGTGTTTCTGTTGTGTGTCATGTGACCTGTGGAAATAGAAACAGAAGTGTGTGACATCATCCACAAGCAAAGGTTTTATTGAGACAGAAACAGCACTAGTTTGTCGTTCTTCAACCGAGAGAAAGCAAGTCACATGGTTTTGTTGGAAAGAAATATTTGACACATCTGCAACAAGAGAAGGTGAAGAATGTCTTTGTGTTTGAGTCGTACTGGAAGAAAAACGTGTTTGTGACTTTGGAGTTCAACAGGACCAAGATAAGTCTCGTTTTGACTGTTTAGTAAGTCATCTTTATTTATATAGCGCCTTTCACAGATCAGCAGGAGCCTATGGAGGCACATGTCAGGACTAATGTATATGTTTTTAGTGGTAGGGGAAACCGGAGCACCTGGAGGAAACCTATGCAGATACAGGGAGAACATGCAAACTCCACACAATAAGGCCTCAAGCTAAGTTAGCTTTAGATGTATATTAAAGGAGAGGTGTGGTAATCTTGAGCTTTTGGCCATTACATATTTTAGGCCTGTGTACTTTTGGATTTGGATGAATAAGTCTGAAATAAATATAAGTTAAAGGTAAAGGTGCACTTTATTGATCCCCGTTGGACAATTCATCCTCTGCATTTGACCCATCCTGATGCCGCTGAGGCTTATGTCAGGAGCAGTGGTCGCAGCAGTAACAGCGCCCGGATGTTGTTGATGCTCGGCTTGGTCAGGACCAGAGCTGGAGGATTTGACCTAGTGAGCAGGTTTTTAGTGGTAGGGGCAACCGGAGCACCCGGAGGAAACCTAGGAAAGCACAGGGAGAACATGCAAACTCCACTCACAAATAAATAAATACATCCATCCATCCATCCATGTTCTTCCCTTTAATCCATTTCTGGGTCAGGGGGGTGGCAGTCAGAGATGCCACCCAAGTCTCATAGCACCAGCCCCTCACTGACCCTCTGCAGGTGGTGAGTCCACAGGAGGACGGCTGCTCTCTGAGTGTGAGCATAGCCTTGATCTTTCAGTGGGGGCTTTGGGCAAAGTGGGGTTAAGTGTCTTGCCCAAGGACACAACGACAGCAGTCATCAGTGGGAGTCGATGGAGAAGGTGTAGAGGTGGGAATTGAACCCACGACCTTCAGGCCTGAAGGCCAATGCTCTACCAACTGAGCTACTGTCGCTAATCACATCACTAATTCAAAGGAAGGTTTCTCACCCATCAATTGTACTTCTGCAGGTTTTCTCTATGTCTGTCCTTAATCCAAAGAACTTTCCAAGGGAATGAAATCTCAGACCGCACGTTGGAGAATTCATAACCTGTGGGTGTGGTTAGCCACACCCTAATCCTGAGGCTAACTCATTAACAATCTAAGGTCTATATGATGTAGAAGGGAGCAGGTCTAACGATCTTAACTCATTAGCATGTCACAGACCTACAGGGCTAACGATCTTAACTCATTAGCATGTCACAGACCTACAGGGCTAACGATCTTAACTCATTAGCATGTCACAGACCTATAGGGCTAACGATCTTAACTCATTAGCATGTCACAGACCTATAGGGCTAACGATCTTAACTCATTAGCATGTCACAGACCTATAGGGCTAACGATCTTAACTCATTAGCATGTCACAGACCTATAGGGCTAACGATCTTAACTCATTAGCATGTCACAGACCTATAGGGCTAACGATCTTAACTCATTAGCATGTCACAGACCTACAGGGCTAACGATATTAACTCATTAGCATGTCACAGACCTATAGGGCTAACGATCCTAACTCATTAGCATGTCACTGACCTTATCTATAGTTAGGGCGTTGTTTTTAGGACGTTGTCATAGACCACTCTAACCCCCCCCCGAGGCATAGATGTTTTGCCTCGCATCCATGACGACATCCTGAAAACAACACCCTAACTATAGATAAGGTCAGTGACATGCTAATGAGTCAAGATCGTTAGCCCCAGCAGGGTCGTTAGAACTGCTCCCTACCACATCTTAACAGACCTTAGACGTGTTTCTGAGTTAGCCTCAGGATTAGGCACAGGTTATAAATCTCCAACGTGCTGAGATTTCATTCCCTTTAAAAAGTTCTTTGGATTAAGGACGAAACGTCGGGAAAACCTGAGAAGTACAGATGATGGGTGAGAAACCTTCCTTTGACTAATCCCTGTACGACTTACTCACTAAATATATATGAATGAATACCTTTTCCAGATGTGATTCCTGTGATATAATATGGACACTAATAATCCCTGTGTAGAGATTTGCTTATCTATTATACTAATGTTAGGGATTTTCTTTCATTTTAGTTTAGACATATTGTTCATTTATCTAGTGCTGTGTCCTCCTCATTACTGCTGTTCTGTAACTTGTAATGCAACACTGAAATTTCCCCGCAGTGGCACAAATAAAGCATCTCTAAGGCCCTGTCCACAAGAAGTCAAGCTCAGGCCTAAACGCAAAAATACTTTATCAATCCAGTGTATCGTCCATACGAGGCCGGCGTTTTGGGGGGGTGTAAACGAACATTTTTGAAAGTAGGTCCCAGAGTGGAAAGATTTCAAAACTCCGTATATGCCGCTCCGTGGTTACTGCCTCTCCGCAATGTATCTGAGACGCTTGCGTCATCGCCCCGCCTCTTGTTAAAGCACGCATGCGCCGCACTCAGAAAATAATGACAACAACAATGTAGCTTGTTGGTTTTGTAATCCAGTGTGACCCGAAGCAACAGTTCAACCTCATCGTCCGTCCATACTAATGTAGTACCAGCTCGCCCACTCGCCATGTTGTCTGTTTACAAAATTCTGCGCATGCCCAGTTCCCGTCACGGAAGTTTGGGCTTGATCCCGTCATTGCGTCACAGCGCCACCAACAGGTCTGGCATAGTTTCACAGCGTTTTCAGGCGTATTGACTACATTCATATGGACGCACACATTTACTGAGCTAACTCCGTGTTTACAGAAAAAGTTTCTGAAATTATAAGCGTTTTGTCTTCGTGTGGATATAGCCTAAATCTTATAATCTAAGTCTTCCTGCTGTGCTGTGAGGCTGCATTAATACGTATGTAGCAGAATCACAAACAGGACCGTTTCATGCAATAACATTTGGAACATTTTGATTGTGTTTTCTCCGCGAGGATCGATGGCGTCTGCGAGTCCTGGAGCTGGAGCTGGAGCCGGAGCCGTGGATGCAGCGACTCAGTGTTCGGGTTTGGGCACAAAGAGCTCGTGACAAGCGGACGTGACCATCGCGATCAGCGTGATGAACTCCTGGAAGTCGATCTCCAAGTCTCCGTTCTGGTCCAGGTCCGTGAACAGCTGGTCCAGCGTGTCGTTCTCGTTGATTTTCTGTGGTTGGACAAAAGAAAAGAGACGAAAGTAAAGACCTACGCTGCAAAAATATGTGGAGTCGAGTTATTTTTGTCTTATTTGGAGTTCATTCTGACAAGATCGACAAGATTCTCTAATGGGACTAAGCCATCAAGTCTGATCTCACGTTTATTTCTGGGAGCTTCTTCTGGGTCTACAGCCTCAGTCCTGGATCTACAGCCTCAGTCCTGGATCTACAGCCTCAGTCCTGGATCTTCAGCCTCAGTCCTGGATCTACAGCCTCAGTCCTGGATCTACAGCCTCAGTCCTGGATCTACAGCCTCAGTCCTGGATCTACAGCCTCAGTCCTGGATCTACAGCCTCAGTCCTGAATCTACAGCCTCAGTCCTGGGTCTACAGCCTCAGTCCTGGGTCTACAGCCTCAATCCTGGGTCTACAGCCTCAGTCCTGGATCTACAGCCTCAGTCCTGGATCTACAGCCTCAGTCCTGGATCTACAGCCTCAGTCCTGGGTCTACAGCCTCAGTCCTGGATCTACAGCCTCAGTCCTTTATCTACAGCCTCAGTCCTGGGTCTACAGCCTCAGTCCTGGGTCTACAGCCACAGTCCTGGATCTACAGCCCAAGTCCTGGATCTACAGCCTCAGTCCTGGGTCTACAGCCTCAGTCCTGGGTCTACAGCCTCAGTCCTGGGTCTACAGCCTCAGTCCTGGATCTACAGCCTCAGTCCTGGGTCTACAGCCTCAGTCCTGGATCTACAGCGTCAGTGCTGGATCTACAGCCTCAATCCTGGGTCTACAGCCTCAGTCCTGGATCTACAGCCTCAATCCTGGTTCTACAGCCTCAGTCCTGGATCTACAGCCTCAGTCCTGGGTCTAACCGCCTCAGTCCTGGATCTACAGCCTCAGTCCTAGATCTACAGCTTCAGTCCTGGATCTACAGCTTCAGTCCTGGATCTACAGCTTCAGTCCTGGATTTACAGCCTCAGTCCTGGATCTACAGCCTCAGTCCTGGATCTACAGCCTCAGTCCTGGATCTACAGCCTCAGTCCTGGGTCTACAGCCTCAATCCTGGGTCTACAGCCTCAGTCCTGGATCTACAGTCTCAGTCCTGGGTCTACAGCCTCAGTCCTGGATCTACAGTCTCAGTCCTGGATCTACAGCCTCAGTCCTTTATCTACAGCCTCAGTCCTGGGTCTACAGCCTCAGTCCTGGATCTACAGCCTCAATCCTGGATCTACAGCCTCAGTCCTGGATCTACAGCCTCAGTCCAGGATCTACAGCCTCAATCCTGGGTCTACAGCCTCAGTTCTGGTTCAGGAGGACACTGGGACCTGTATGAAGTGGTTCATCTCGTTGTTGATCAGCTCCTTAAGCTCGGCCTTCCGCAGTTTACACTTATGTCCCGAATACTTGTGGAAAATCTTGATGATCGTCACTATCCCGTTCTCCAGATCTGACATGTCGACCTGTGGGGCCTGAGATTACGAAACACAAGACTTACTGAACCAGGAATGTGGCAATGTGTACATTCAAGTTTAGAGAAACAACAGAACAACATGTGCTGAATATTGTTTTAATAATGTACTATTTCTTCAGAACAAAGAAATACACAAAGTCTAAAATTTGGCTAAATGTGTCTAACATTGAGCCCATTCTGACTCCCTTCAAACTAGATTTTCTAATGGGACAAAGTAAAATTCCATCCATCCATCCATCTTCTTCCCCTTGATCCATTTCTGGGTCGGGGGGGTGGCAGTCAGAGCTGCACCCAATTCACATAGCACCAGCCCCTCACTGATCCTCTGCAGGTGGTGAGTCTACAGGAGGACGGCTGCTCTGTCAGTGACAATACGGCCTTGATTTTTCAGCGGGGGGTTTCAGGCAATGCAGGGTTAAGTGTCTTGCCCAAGGACACAACGACAGCAGTCATCAGTGGGAGTCGGTGGAGAAGGTCCCGTGGTGGGCTTGAACCTACAACCTTCAGGCTCAAAGGCCAGTGCTCTACCAACTGAGCTAGTGTCGCCCCAAAGTAAAATTATCTTGTTTTAAAAAGACAGAGACTAAACTTGTTTTAAGACAGTCAGAATTAACTCAAATATGGATAAAACACACTTTATTTAAGCATTTATTACCTAATAATCTAGCATTGTTTGGCAGTGTATGGCCCTGTCAGGTTGGGTCCTTCTCTCTCTGTTTGTGAGTGGATTCCATTGAAGTCAAGTCCACAAACTTAAAGTGATAGTCTGCAGTTTGTCAGCAAAAAGAGAGAGACATGATTTGAAGAAAAAAAAAAAAACACCCAAGCCCCTCCCCCTTCCTTTCTGATTGGTCTACGCCTACTTTTACGTAACAATTGATCAACACATTATACATATACATTATTAATACACATGCACAGAGGTTTTCAGAATTATCTATTGACACCTTCATTAAAAAAATTATGTTTTAATGAGAAAAAAAGCGATTGCGGTGTTCAGTAGCTATTATCATGAATTGAATATTATACGACACATCTGCAGAGGATCTGATAATGGATATAGGTTCATATATAAATGATTATGGATATAGGTTCATATATAAATGATTATGGATATAGGTTCATATATAAATGATTATGGATATAGGTTCAGTATATAAATGATTATGGATATAGGGTCAGTATATAAATGATTATGGATATAGGTTCATATATAAATGATTATGGATATAGGTTCAGTATATAAATGATTATGGATATAGGTTCAGTATATAAATGATTATGGATATAGGTTCTGTATATAAATGATTATGGATATAGGTTCAGTATATAAATGATTATGGATATAGGTTCAGTATATAAATGATTATGGATATAGGTTCAGTATATAAATGATTATGGATATAGGTTCAGTATATAAATGATTATGGATATAGGTTCAGTATATAAATGATTATGGATATAGGGTCAGTATATAAATGATTATGGATATAGGGTCAGTATATAATGGAGGCTTGAATCTGAGGCTCCTCAAAAACAACTGATCATGAGCAGCTACGAGCACCAGCGCGATGATTGACAGCCCTTGGCATGATTTGATTGGTTAACGTGGACGGCACTGTGGATTTTGAGCTATAGCTAAGAGAAGGGAAGGCGGGACTTACCTGTAATATTAGAATTAATAAATATTTCATATCAATATTTAAAGCCAGGAGGTCAGTTTAATACAATTCTTAACATTTGTAATTCATTTAGAGTTTCAGACTAGTAGTAGTAGTAATAGTAGCAGCAGTAGAAATAGTAGTAGTAGTAGCAGTCGTAGTAGTAGTAGCAGCAGTAAAATTAGTAGTAGTAGTAGTAGTAGCAGTAAATAAATGTAAAATGTAAATGTGCACTTTATTGTCCCCGTAGGGAAATTCATCCTCTGCATTTGACCCAGATCCTGATGCCGCTAAGGCTTACGTCAGGAGCAGTGGTCGCCGTAGTAACAGCGCCCGGGAACCCATCTCCAGGTGTTAATGCTCGGCTTGGTCAGGACTACTGGAGTAGAAAAAGTAGTAGTAGTAGTAGTAGTAGTAGTAGTAGTAGTAGTGGTTTGAATATATTCTTTTTTTCTCTTCTTGCTTTTTGATTTATCCACGTCTCGCCCTGAGATTTATGGTCTGACCCAAAAGTGTGGGTGGAGAGGGAAGCCTGGGCCTCTCTGCTCAGACCGCTGCTCCCTCCACCCTCTGCTCCCTCCACCCTCTGCTCCCTCCACCCTCTGCTCCCTCCACCCGCTGCTCCCTCCACCCGCTGCTCCCTCCACCCTCCGCTCCCTCCACCCTCCGCTCCCTCCACCCGCTGCTCCCTCCACCCTCTGCTCCCTCCACCCTCTGCTCCCTCCACCCGCTGCTCCCTCCACCCTCTGCTCCCTCCACCCGCTGCTCCCTCCACCCTCTGCTCCCTCCACCCTCTGCTCCCTCCAACCGCTGCTCCCTCCACCCGCTGCTCCCTCCACCCGCTGCTCCCTCCACCCTCTGCTCCTCCACCCGCTGCTCCCTCCACCCGCTGCTCCCTCCACCCGCTGCTACCACCACCCGCTGCTCCCTCCACCCGCTGCTACCCCCCGCTGCTCCCTCCACCCGCTGCTCCCTCCACCCGCTGCTCCCTCCACCCACTGCTCCCTCCACCCTCTGCTCCCTCCAACCGCTGCTCCCTCCACCCTCTGCTCCCTCCACCCGCTGCTCCCTCCACCCGCTGCTCCCTCCACCCGCTGCTCCCTCCACCCGCTGCTCCCTCCAACCGCTGCTCCCTCCAACCGCTGCTCCCTCCACCTGCTGCTCCCTCCATCCGCTGCTCCCTCCACCCGCTGCTCCCTCCACCCGCTGCTCCCTCCACCCGCTGCTCCCTCCACCCGCTGCTCCCTCCACCCGCTGCTCCCTCCACCCGCTGCTCCCTCCACCCGCTGCTACCACCACCCGCTGCTCCCTCCACCCGCTGCTCCCTCCAACCGCTGCTCCCACCACCCGCTGCTCCCACCACCCGCTGCTCCCTCCACCCTCTGCTCCCTCCAACCGCTGCTCCCTCCACCCGCTGCTACCACCACCCGCTGCTCCCTCCACCCTCTGCTCCCTCCAACCGCTGCTCCCTCCAACCGCTGCTCCCTCCACCTGCTGCTCCCACCACCCGCCCACAGAATGTGTATGAATGTTTTGGTTAGTACTGTATGTGTGGACCATGGATCTATTATAATAACGGTGTGGACGGGCACCGGGAACTCACTGCAGGGAAGACTCCAGGTCAAAGCCAACTCCTCGACACTGACACTGGCAATAAAACTTTTCGGGTTTTAGAGTTTTTATTGATGCTGGAGTCTGTAAGAGGGTTTGTATCTGACAAAAAGGTGATGATCCAGGATTCTCTGCATTTTACAACATGTATGGACACTATGGGGCGGCACGGGCACTATGGGGCGGCACGGACACTATGGGGCGGCACGGACACTATGGGGCGGCACGGACACTATGGGGCGGCACGGACACTATGGGGCGGCACGGACACTATGGGGCGACACGGGCACTATGGGGCGGCACGGACACTATGGGGCGACACGGACACTATGGGGCGACACGGACACTATGGGGCGACACGGACACTATGGGGCGACACGGACACTATGGGGCGGCACGGACACTATGGGGCGGCACGGTGGCTGAGTGGATAGCATTCCCGCCTCTCAGCAATAAGGTACTGGGTTCGAATGCCGGTCGGAACAGGGTCTTTCTGAGTGGAGTTTGCATGTTCTCCCCGTGCCTGCATAAGTTTCCTCCAGTTACCCCGGTTTGCCTTACCACTAAAAACATGCACACTAGGTAAAATCCTCCAGCTCTGGTCTTGACCAAGCCGAGCATCAACATCTGGAGATGGGTTAGTAAGTAAGTAAGTAATGTTTATTTATATACTGCCTTTCACAGACGGAGTCACAAAGCGGTTTACAATTGTTATTTTTTGGGCATTTGTCTCTCACTCCACACAGAGATGGGAGCGGGGTCGCCAGTACAGGAGGCGCATGCCAGAACTATTGTACATATTTTTAGAGGTAGGGGAAACCGGAGGTAGAGGAAACCTACGCAGACACGGGAAGAACATGCAAACTCCACTCAGAAAGGCCCTGGTCCGAACGGCATTCGAACCCAGAACCTTCTTGCTGAGAGGCGAGAGTGCTATCCACTCAGGCACGCCCGGTTACCGGGCACTGTTACTACGGCGACCACTGCTCCTGATGTAAGCCTTTACTTTTACTTACAAACATCATGGACATTGGTCAACTCCCTATGGACCAATACGTTTGAACGGTTTGATTCTTTGATCTGTTTTTGGCGATTTCAACGGTTTTGTTAAGTCCTCTGAGATAATAAAGTTGTGATTTAGGGCGATACAAGAATAAAATGAATTGAATTGAATTGAAAACAACTTGTGAACGTATTCTCGGATGTTATTGTAGTATAATTTGCTGTTGGATTAGATTAGCTTTCCTTGGGTTTTGGGCAGGACTAGTTTCCATCGACTGTTAAATCATAACTAGTTCTAGACAAATGCGTCGTTCAATTTGATTTGCTTCATGACAAATCTGCCCCTCAGCTTTGCAAAAATGCTGTTCAACAATAACACAGACTTAGTGTATTTTGCTGCAGTTTCAATCACATTAAGGCACATATAGAGCCAATGCATTAACCCTAAACTGCTAAACAACTTCAAGCATCTGCACTAATCACCAATTGTGCTTTGTCCAGTCATTCCAGAGCCTTTAAATGATGATAAATATGTGTCTTACCTCCATTTGAACTTGCTCCTCGGTCCTTCTGCGCTCCTTCTGCCGCCGGAGCCTCACCCAATCCCTCGACATGTTATCGACCCTCTGTATTAGGCCTCTGCACACGCCCCACTCTCTTCATAATTGCTCCGTTAATGGACATCCCAGTGGTCAGAGCGTTGACCAAAATCACATCTGGAGGTTTGGTCACATGGTTTTGGTCTGAGAGTGCATGTCAGAGACCGGCGGATTAGCAATGATTCACTTTATCTGTTCTCTATTATGTCCACTCCAACGGAAATGAGCCGCGGATGAGGTCATTTGTTGAACGGAGAAATAAAGTTACAATATTGTATTTATATCGCCCTGTCCAATATTGTATTAACTTTGTGTCTGTCCTCGTTCTACAGCCTGAGTCCTGGATCCATCTCTCAATGTGGGTGTCCTCAGGGTTTCTCACCTTTTCCCACTGGGTTTAGAGTTGTTCTTTGCTGATGCAGGAGGATCTAACTAAGGACAGTGATGATCCAGGACACATTCAACCACATTTATCAAAATGTACGGACATCGGTCTCTGCTCCTTATGGACCAACACCAATGTATTTTCTATCATTGCATTTCTTGTGTTTTAACCGTTTGATTCTCTGTTGTTGGCCAATTCAACCGTTTTGCAAAGACCTCCGAGACAACTACTGTTGTGATTTAGGGCGATACAAGACATTTAATTGAATATCCTGTGAGGTTTTCTTTTTCATTCAAGTGCTTTCTGCACAGGGCCCTCAGTCAGACTGAATGAAAACTCCCTGTTTATATGTTGTAGCTGGACTAAGCTGGACCATGTACTAGTAGAACGTGGACCAGTGGACTCACTCCTTCACTGTATCCAACAGATCAGTGAGTGGATGCACAATAACTTTCTTCAGCTACACTGAATTGATTGTTTTTGGTCCTCAGACACAAAGAGAGAGTGTCGTCTGTCACCCACAGTCTCTCTCAAACACACCTTCAAACCAGGTCAGAAATCTAGGGGTAATACTGGACTCAGACTTTTAAAAGCCACATCAAATCAGTAACATCAGCAGCTTTTTACCTCATAAAAAACATAAAAAACACAGTGTCTAAAGCAGACTTGGAGATTTTTATCCATGCATTTGTCTCCAGTAGGTTAGACTACTGCAATGGCCTGCTCACAGGTCTGTCCAAACAGGCTGTAAAACAGCTGCAGTACATTCAAAATGCAGCAGCTCGAGTCCTGACTAGAACCAGGAAGTACGACCACATTAGTCCTGACTAGAACCAGGAAGTACGACCATATTAGTCCTGACAAGAACCAGGAAGTACGACCACATTAGTCCTGACTAGAACCAGGAAGTACGACCACATTAGTCCTTGTCACTCCCGGATTCGTCCCGGAAACCGGATTCGTCCGGAAGTTCAGTTTGCGCATGTCAAAAAGTTTAATATGTCCTTAAGTGGTGACTGGTTAAGTTTAGGCGTCTGATTAAGATGGTTAAGTTTAGGGTTAAGGCTGGGTTGGGGTTATTTTATGGGAATGGCTGGTTAAGTTTAGGCATGAATAGGTAGTTTTTTATATTTACTTCCGCTTCCGTCCAGATTCCGTGACGTAATCTACTGCTGCGTATGCTCATTGGATCAAACTGAACTTCCGGACGAATCCGGTTTCCGGGACGAATACGGGAGTGACAGTCCTGACTAGAACCAGGAAGTACGACCATATTAGTCCTGACAAGAACCAGGAAGTACGACCACATTAGTCCTGACTAGAACCAGGAAGTACGACCACATTAGTCCTGACTAGAACCAGGAAGTATGACCACATTAGTCCTGACTAGAACCAGGAAGTACGACCACATTAGTCCAGTCCTCAGGTCTCTGCACTGGCTTCCTGTGGCTCAGAGAATAGACTTTAAAACAGCTCTGCTTGTTACAAGTCTCTCCATGGCCTCGCACCAAAATATATTAGTGACATGTTAGTCCCATATGAACCAGCCCGGACTCTGAGGAGCACAGGGACTGGACTGGACTCCTGCTGGGACTCTGAGGAGCACAGGGACTGGACTCCTGTTAGTGCCCAGAGTCAGAACTAAACATGGGGAGGCCTCATTTCAGATTCATGCTGCTAAAATCTGGAACAATCTTCCTGAAGATATGAGACAGGCCTCCTCTCAGACAATGTTTCCTGAGGGATTTCATATTTGTATCCCTCAGTGCTGCACTCAGCCATCGTGTCGCCCCTTGGTCTTAATGCTGTCTGTGGTTTATTGATAACTAACCTCAGGGTAATTATAGAATGTTTCAGCCTGTTGTGGCACCGTCTGTTTGGAACCCTCTGACGCTCTCTTCCCGTAGAAACTATTTACTTGTCATAATGCATCGTTTTACTTCCCCGGACTCTGATTTGAGGTTACTGTGGCCTGGGAACGTTTATCCATCGATTCTGTGGGTTTCAGACATCAGAGTTTACGATACAATGTAAAGTAAGTGGTGATGAAAACCATGAATTATCTTAATGAAAATGACATAAGCCATAATTCTGTTTTGTTTCAAATTGGCTTCATACTTTCATATTTCGTCTTTTTAAACCTGTAGACAGTTATTTACGGTTATGGTTTTTTTTTCTCCAATAATTATTTTTTATTTTACTTTATTGTTTTTTTTATTATATTTAATAGTTATATTTAATAGTTTTAAACAAATAGTAATTTTGTTTACGTTTATTTTTATTTTTTATTTTATTTTTCTCGTGCACGCCCATTCCCCTCTCTGTACGTGCGCGCCCCCTGCCTGTTTACTTCCTGGTCTCGTCGCCGTGACTTCTTCTACCGCAGCTCAAAAGCCAAGAATCTCTTCTCTATGATCTCCCTTCTCCTCAACTGAAAACTTTACACATTTACACATCAAACCATCCGAATCCTCCGAGCTTCTTCCCCGGGGTCTCCTGCTCACTCTACCCGCCTTCGGGAGCTCACGGGGCGGTCAAAAGACGACTCTGCACCTGGGGATATTGATTATCATTGAAGCCACAGCGCGTTCCATTCAGTTTTAACAGGAGGTAAATATGCACATACATTTATAACTTGCAGCTATAACGTAAGGTCTTGTCTGCTCAAATGAAAATGATTATGTACTTTTAATGTTTTAATGCTATAATAAAACATGTATGATTGAATTAGATGCTTACATGAACCATTTATCTGCACCTCGGTGTGTGTTTAGATGACCTTCCATTTATCTACTTGTTTATTTGAATGGCAAAGTGGGCATTAACCAAAACCTGTGCATGCAAATGTGCCAGATGGAGCTATGAAGGCGAGCTTCTATCTGTCAGTCCCATAGACAGCATTTCAGATCTGTGCAGCTGAAGTCTGGAAAAGTCTTCCTGAAAATGTGAGACGGGCTTCTTCACTGACAATGTCCAAATCCAGGTTAAAAACTGTAGCGAGTCGCTGTGCTACAACTGAGGGATTATTGTACTCTTTTTTTTTTTTCAATGTACTGTGTAGGGCTGCACGATATATCGAAAAAATATTGTTATCGGAATATTGGTGCATGCAATATCCATATCAAAAATATTTGCGACAGACACATCAACATTCAGCAAGAACAACAAACAGACAAAAAAGATTGCAATTTTAGGAGAAAGACAAAAATATTGCAATAATATTGTTATTGCAATACTAAACACTCATCGAATATCGCACTAATAACGGCTTATTAACCGAGCGCGAGGTTAATAAATGTTTTATTATGTGACTATTTTTAATTTATGCAAATATCGATCTCCGACTTGGTTTTCCTAATCGTGTTTTTAGCTTTCTGGTCTGCAACGAAGTTGTCAATCTCATCTTGTCTGTTAGTTATTTTTTCTTCGTTATTTTCTGTAATTTCTTCCTCTGGCTCGTCAAACTCGTCCGGGTAATAGAATTCACTGGAGAATGCTCCCAGTTGACCCCCATTATTTCTTTTTTACCGAGGAAACTCAGGAAAGATATCAATTGTGATACGCGCTGCGGACTGATTGTCATAGTAACGGTCCGAGGAAAGATATCAAATGTGATACGCACTGTTCGGACCAATTGTCATGGTAACGGTCTGAGATGGGAAAATATCAGACCGGTAATCAGCCAATCAGAGCGCGCGTACGGTCCAAGTCATATAATAATTTCCAATATGGTACAGCCTAGTACTGTGATTATTTGTGATTCTAATGTCTTGAGTTGCCTTGTGTAGTGTAATGTTATAAACAAGAGAAATATCATGGGATCTCATGATGTTTTCCGCAGCTACAGCAGTGGTATTCTGTTATAATCTTACAAAGGTGATGAGAATGTTGATTTCAGAGATTTGCCTCCAGCGTCGTTCTTAGAAATCTGCCTCCAACTCGTAACCAGGAAGTGAGTCATGGATCGGTGTGATTACATCATTAACAGCCTCCTCACAGACTTAGCACCTTTTAAAAACATGGTTAAAGTGGCCATAGTTGCAGGTGAAAGCCAGAGCCAGTCAGACCTCTGAAGCTGTGCAGGGCCTGGTTAGTGCTGTGATGGGAGACCTCCAGGGGCCACAGTGGGGAGGCTGCGGCTGTAAAGTGCCAAATTGTTGTTGTGTCCTTAGTAGGGGTGGGAACCTAAGGGTACCTCACGATACGATATGATACAAAGCTCACGATAACAATATTATCACGATAACAATATTATCACGATAACAATATTATCACGATAACAATATTATCACGATATTGGTCAGAAATAGGGTTTAATATTTTTCCCGAAAATGAGACGTATCAAATCCCGGGAAATAGCTGTTGTTTGTAGTTGTTTTTAGCCCAAGTAGTAGTAGTAGTAATATTTATTTATATACCGCCTTTTCACTGCACATCGGAGTCTCAAAGCGGTTTACAATTGTGATTTTTGGGAGTGGGGGTACCAGTACAGGAGGCACATGCCAGACCTATTGTACATATTTTTAGTGGTAGGGGAAACCGGAGCACCCGGAGGAAACCTACGCAGACACGGGGAGAACATGCAAACTCAACTCAGAAAGGCCCTGGTCCAACCGGGATTCGAACCCAGGACCTTCTTGCTGAGAGGCGAGAGTGCTATCCACTCAGCCACCGTGCCGCCAATGGGTCTTACCTTAGTTATTAATGAACAGCACAGACCACTTCAGTTCAGACCAGTTTCATGTTTAAGTCCAGATAATAGTTTGAGTGCAGATATGTAATCCCCCATTTGGAAATAAGCCCAAAGAGTTTTAAAGCGTAAAACAAAACGGGTGCCACCTCCATAAACTCCTGTGTTCTCACTGCAGCCGGCTCTCGGGCGCATCCAATTTCTAATATCAACCTTCTTACCCTTCTCTCTCTTCCTTATCATTCCTATCGTCATTGGAAGCAGAACATTACCCTAAATGCATTTTATATGATCTTAAAATGTGTTATATGTATGCTAGCCAAACCTGTTGCTGCCCTTAGCAGATGGAAAAAAATAAAGGAGCTTTCTGATAGAATTGGATGTAGCCGAATTCTGGGCTCACATGTGCCCCGTACCCTGAGGCTGGCCTCATTACAAGTCGTGGTTTAGCGCAATTAAGACCCATATTTGTTGTCAAAACATAATTGATGAGCCATCCTCTCAGCTGTAGACATGTTGATTGTAAATGAAATATGTTTGAACTTTGAACAACAATAAACGTGCTCTATAATAGGAGCGCACTGGATTTTTTTAAAACTGTAAACTGCAATAGCCCCTTCAATTTAAACAGGGAAAGTCGTTGACTCAACTTTCTCAAGCTTGCTCAGTTAACAACGTTCCCTTATTCTACTCAACTGAAATAAAGCAATTGAATTGATTCGTATTATCAAGTACTATGAATTAATTACATACGTTGAATAAACACAGGAAAATAACTTGATTACACTATACAATTGTAATTGTTTGGAATCAACATTTTAAGGCAGCCCTTGGAATTGAATGTTTAAGTTAAAACAAATGGTTATTTTTAATCGTTTTACCTACTGGTTTGTTACTTTACACAATCCATTTTACCCTATTAACAATTTACAAGACATTTAGCTGGAAAGACCATTTTTATTGCCACATACTTAATCAAACTGAATGTTATTCAAGATTATTCAACAAACTCAAATAAAATCAATAAGTTAAATGAACAATTCAGTCCAAACTTTTACAATGTAAATATATATGTTTTAAGCTTAAAAATAGCATTAGCTTCAAAATAAACTTAAAACTAACCCAATACTTTTTTTAAACCCTGGCCCTTGTCCATCAGCCCTCATTAAAACATACACCTGGTTTCATTTCAAACTCAGACAAAAGGATAAAATTACCTGTTATTAGGGCTATAACAAGTATACCTTTAAATGGATCTCTAATCAAATATTTTTTTTATCCAAACATTTATGACTGACAGCTGTATCTACCCCAGAATTAAATGGTATATCACATTCAGAAAACGATTTTAACTCCACAATAAAATCCACGCAACTTGTTTTCACACACAAAGACCATCCTCACTCTCACAACTGAAAAAGTTGTGTTCTTGAAAAATATCTAACAAAATGTGTTATCCCCAGATTTAAACTGAGCTTCTGAGAATGTTCTTGATTTGTTGGCACAATTCATTTCATAAATCAAAAGGAGTGATCACAACTACTACATACAATCATAGGTCAGAAGATGTTACATTTTCCTCACACCATGAACTAGTGAAGAACAATGTCCACCTCTGTTTCTGAAGGAGTTCCAACTTGTACCTCATTTCTCTGGGATAGTCCATGTTCAAACTGTAAACCCCATGAGCATTGCCATGGCTGTGGGAATATCACCAAGATCTGTCAGTCACTGATTCCTTCAGCACGACGGACACATTCAGACCTCTTCAGAAGTAGGACCCACTTTGATCTCTTTGTTATTCTCTCATCATCAGCGGTCTGTAACATAAAATTACAAATGTATGCATTCATATCAAAAAAGGACAAAAGTCCAAACATGAGTTTGAACCCAAACTGAGCTCACTTGGTGGAGGCAAATTACTAATTATGCATGTACGTATGCCTTTACAAAGATTGCTTAGAGTAATATGCCCACATCTGTGTCTTGTGAGGGCCGATTGTGGCTCTTTAGGCCAAGCGAGGGGCACGTTTGTTTTTTCTTCATAATTTAGAGTCTGCAGTTTTTATTCAAACTTAAAATAGATCTGGACCTTCAAACAAAGCTGAAATAGGTTAAAATGTATACAAATCCTTTAAAGGAATAGGCCACCGTTTTTACATACTGACATATGGACTTACCTTAGACTAGTAGCTCAGTTGGTAGAGCACTGGCCTTCAGGCCTGAAGGTTGTGGGTTCAATTCCCTCCTCGACACCTTCTCCACCGACTCCCACTGATGACCGCTGTCGTTGTGTCCTTGGGCAAGACACTGAACCCCACTTTGCCCAAAGCCCCCACTGAAAGATCAAGGCTATGCTCACACTCAGAGAGCAGCCGTCCTCCTGTGGACTCACCACCTGCAGAGGGTCAGTCAGGGGCTGGTGCTATGAGACTTGGGTGGCATCTCTGATTGCCACCCCCCTGACCCAGAAATGGATTAAAGGGTAGAAAATGGATGGATGGATGGATGGATGGATAGTTGATATGTACCGGTCTGGTCTGTGTCCGTGCACTCTGTCATGCAAACGCAGCACAAACCTCCGTCAATAGAAGCAAGCTGAGCGGGAGAGAAGTCTTTAGGAGTTAGTGCGTGGACGTAGTGCTCCTCATGTTATTACGCCTCACAATATAGTACCCCTTTTTATCCGCTGAAAAAATTGACATGCTAAATTGTAGTGTAACACGTCACGTAACTGTATTTAAATAGGGAACATGTGGAAGAGTTTAACGGGAGCTGATTTCGTTAATATATATACAGTCTGTGGAAGAGGCTGTGTTTGTGCTGCGTTTGAATGACAGAGCACACGGACAAAGACCAGACAGGTACATATCAACTAGTCTAAGGTACGAACATATGTCAGTATGTAAAAACGGTGGCC